TCATGCCAGAAACTATGCAAGGTGTCATAGCAGGCCTGCCAGCGGATCAGTTCAGTAGGCCCAGAACATCAGTGCTGGGTCGTGCTGAGAAGAGAAAAAGCCCACACTGGGACTTCTTGTCTTGATTCATTCTCTCTCTCTCTCCCCACCCCTCCATCTCTCTCTGTCCCTCCCTTTCTCTGTCTCTCCCCTCCCTCTTTCTCTCTCCCCCCTTTTCTTTTTCCCCTTCCCCGTCTCCCTCTGTCTCTCTCTCTTCCTCTTTTTCTATCTCCCCCTCCCCATGTCTCCCTCCCCCTCTCCTTTGCTCTTTCTCCCCCCCCTTTCTCCATCTGTCTCCCTCTCCTTCCCTCCCTCTGTCTCTCTGTCCCACCCCCTTCTATCCCTATTCAGGATAACTCACAATAATACTGAGACTGTACGAACAAGCGAAAGGCTATTTTTGCCCACCATTAAAGAAGAGACACCCAGTAACATGTTGCCTCTTTCTTGCATTAAGAGCAGCCCCTTGTGGCTCTGATGGAATAGTTCTTAATGGGAAAATAGAGTGCAGAAGAACTGTGTTTAGTTGCCCTGCTGATGTATCAGCAGCACCTCATGGTGGCAACTGGAAAAAACGATCAGGTCTACTTTCTTGGTGGCCTATTTTAGCCATCCTCTTAAGCCCGATTCCTGGCACAGATCTGAGAGATCTCCCAGCATAGCAGACACAGAGCGCACAGCAGAGGTGGGTTCCTACCAGTTCGCNGTTTGATGAAAGTCTGGAGTTTCTCACCATGATACCTAAAGAAGAGCAGAGAATGAATCGGTCTTCAGAGACAAAGCAGAGAATATTGGTTGCCTTCAATATAAAAAGTACAATATAAAAAGTATATTAGAAAGGGGGGGGGGATCCCAAATTTAGAAAATTAAAAGGAATACAACTGATGCAATCCTTTTGTGAGCCTCATGAATATATTATAGGGCTTCTATTCTGAAATCTGCCCAAACGTTTTTGCTTATTAGCATGCATGTATGTTTAGTGTAGGGACGCAGTGGCTCAGTGGCTAAGACACTGAGCTTGTCGATCAGAAGGTTGGCAGTTCAGCGATTTGAATCCCTAGCGTCACGTAATGGACTGAGCTCCCATTACTTGTCCCAGCTTCTGCCAACCTAGCAGTTCAAAAGCATGTAAAAATGCAAGTAGAAAAATAGGGAAGGTATTCCCTATGGTGGGAAGGTAACAGCGTTCCGTGTCCCTTTAGAGTTTAGTGATGCCGGCCACATGACCAGAGAGATGTCTTCAGACAGTGCTGGCTCTTCGACTTTGAAACGGAGATGAGCACTGCCCCCTAGAGATGGGAACAACTAGCACATATGTGCGAGGGGAATCTTTACCTTTATGTTTAGTGTGTGAATATTTGCAGAAATTGATGTGAAGAGACAAGGATATTTGTTGTAAGTTTCAGTTAGGTATATTTGGGAGAGATAAAAAATATTCTATTTGTTGCATTTGTTACAGTTAGCATAGAACTGAAGGCTTATATCAGTTTATTCTTATAAACAGCCTTTAGTGCAGGAAACTTATCCTTCAGATATTCTGATCTCCAATTTTGTACTTTGCTCAGAGGTTGCAAGGCTGCAAGTGCTACAAGATTTCTCCAGAATGCTGTTTGTTTCATGTGTTTTTTGTATTTTCAACACAATCCTGAGACTTGAGACCATCAGCCCATTCACACATGCAAAACTGGATCTTTACATGGAAGCCCTTAGCTGCACTTACTTTGAAAAGAGACCTGTCTCACTTACCCCAAACCTCTTTTGCATCGGGGATTCCGTCCCTCATTGTCCAAGGCTTCAGCCATTCCTGAACTGCTGCTTCCCAAGCCAAGACCTTCGCTCCAGCCCTGCCTTTCCATCACTTTTCGGCCAATGCCCTGGCACAGAAAGAAAATCAGTTCTAAAGCAACAAAGCACTGATGCCAGAACGAAGTGAGGAACCAGATTTTTAATTAAAGAAAGTGTCGTCATCATCAGAAGCATACAGGCAAGTTCTTAATTTACAACCAAAATTGAGCCCAAAATTTCCATTGCTAAGCAAAGCAGTCTAATAAATTTTGCTCCGTTTTATGGAGACACTTGTTAAGCAAATCATTTGCGGTTGTTAAGTGAACAATGTGGTAATTAAGCATATCTGGCTTTTCCCATTGAGTTTGCTTGTCAGAAACCAGTTTGGGAAGGCTACAAATGATAATCAGTGCATCGATCATAAATGCATGCCAATTGCCAGGTGCCCAAATTCTGATTGCGTGATCACGGGGATGCTGCAGTGGTTCCAAGTGTGAAAACCAATCATAGGTCCCTTTTTTCCCTCGCTGTTGTAACTTCAAATGGTTTGGTTCAAACCATTACTTTGGTTCAACATAATTGGGCGAGCTTTAGCACACACGACAGCCATC